ATGCGAAGAAGTGGTTACAAGATAGGACAGGGCTGGGAGATAGGAATGAGAAAGAACTTGACATTGCAAAATCAAATAAACCTCTTTTTATGGACAAGGACATTCAGACAACTAAAGGGATCAGGCAGCAAGGAATGGTTCTAAGTTTCCAGTCCAGATTTGGCCCAAGACCTACAGGATCTCCAGTCTCATCATTTTAGAACTTCATAATAAGCAACAACATGAGTTGAGACTATTGCAATTATTCCTTTATTCACCTTTTCTCTGTTCAGGAAAGGCAGTGGGGAGACATGCCTTTCAAAATTAGGCAAGAACTCTATCTGTAAGGTGACATCCCAGAACAAGTCAAATAAAATCCCTCGGTTTGAAAATGTGGGTGATTTCAGGCCTGAAGTCCTCTCAAGATGATATTAAAAATCACAAATAGATTGGCTTCCTAATGGAGAAGAAAATTTTCTTAGAAGAACAGCTTTCAAACCTCAAATTTGAGCTTTTGAATACCTCAAATAAGTTTCTGCAATGCCTTCTCCTGGCGGTCATTCACAAACATTTATTACTTGGCATCCTGATTCAACCACATATTGTTGCCTAATTAAAAGTACTTCTTTTACTAGATCAATCGACTTGCTTTTAGGAGCTGCCATAATAACACCTATACTTTTATTCAAAGTGGTAAGAGGTATTCAGGAGAGATGACACACACAGGCTCAATAAGTTCGAGCTGAAACGTACATGATAGGACATGCCATTTGGTGTCTGGGTGCACGTAACACAACTCACAGCTCTTTGAAATAGAAAAATCTGAGCCAATTCAAACTAATGACCTGGCTCTTGTTTCTGAAGTGGGTGGGGGTTTACATGAAACCTTTTCATGCAGCTCCCGCACGGAGTCAACACCCGAGTTTTCAGCCTTCCTGAACTGCAGCCAAAGGGCTTGGCAAAGGCCAACCCAGGGGTATTAGAAGGTGGAACAAAGGGAGGAATAAGATTGCCTGGACTTTTTCCACTCCCTGAAAACCTCAGTCCCGTTCTTTCTTCCCGTTTAGATATACTGTTCGATCTTTTTCCTTTCAGAGTTTCTGTATTTTGCTGGAAAATTTATTGCAAAAGAGTGAGCACCTCACCTTTTACTGGGGACGTGAACTTCTTTGAAAATCTGATTCAAAGATAGACTCTCAGAAAAATGAACATAAAGTCAAAACCCTGCAGAAATTTTCAAAAAGTCCACAAATCCTCTGAAACCATGTAGAACTCAAGTTAAACACCCCCCCCCAACATTCTCTACTGATTTTGAGCAAGAAAGGGCATTTAATGATTACTCTAGAAATATATTAAATATGAAAAGAATTTTGTTTGGGACCCTTTGCTTAAATGGAGTACTGTGTTCGTAACTATCAGGCTGGTCAGCAGGGCACACTTTGGTTCTTTCCAAGTTTTACCCTGGCTCTGGAGGAAGTCTCTAGAATATTCAAGAAATTTCCCATCCCCTTGTTTGGACAGTGGCTGTAACTAAGTTTGTTCTGAGCCCTGCCTACTATTGCTTTGCTCCACAAGAGCCACAGTGAGCTCTCAGAGCACATCTCTCATGATAGGACTCTGTCTACTCACTGAACGCAGATTTTCTAAAGGACATTTTAGATCAGGTTGTCTAACCTTTTTTCTTCCCTGGCACACATTATTAAGAATTAGAGTTGTCTGGCTCGGTGCCCATACATAGTGGTTATAGAGCCAGCCACATACACTGAGGGTAGCAGGTTTGAACCTGGCCCGGACCAGCTAAACAACAATGACAACTGCAACAAAAAATAGCTGGTCCTTGTGGCAGGCACCTGTGGCTACTTGGGAGGCTGAGGCAAGGTAATTGTGTAAGCCCAGGAGTCTGAGGTTGCTGTGAGTTGTGATGCCACAGCACTTTACCTAGGGAGACATAGTGAGACTCTGTCTCAAAAAAAAAAAGAATTAGAGTTGTCTTGGACCACAGAGTAAATACACAAACACTAATGACAGCTGATGAGCAAAAATAACCAGAAAAAGGTCTGCGCATACTTTTGTGACATCCAGCTGCAGCACAGATAAGCAAAACAGGCCTCTGATAATCTGCATGTGGCCCGTGGGCTGCAGGTTGAACACGCCTGTTTTAGATTTTTCTTTTCTTTTTGCTCTTTTAGTTTTGTCATAACCTTTTCTGGTTGGCTCTTAAACTCCTAGTGAAATTCAAGTTCATAAACTTAACTTCTGGTTTTTCTTTCTTTTTTTTTTTTTTTTTAAGAGACAGAGTCTCACTCACTTGGTAGAGTGCGGTGGCGTCACAGCTCATAGCAACCTCCAACTGTAGCTCAAGTGGCTAAGGCTCCAGCCACATACTCCAGAGGTGGCAGGGTTTGAATCCAGCCCAGGCCTGCCAAACAACAATGACAACTACAACCAAAAACATAGCCGGGCGTTGTG